TGGCTATACTCAATCCCGACTCTTGCGTCCTCGTTCGCGGACTCTGGGCAACGTGAGCAACCCATGTGCGAGGTGCGGTAACCAATCCGAGTGGAGCCTTGGGTCACGGCAGAAAGAGAGGGAGCTTCGGTGGGGCCACTCCGACTTATTCGGTTTAAGGACTCACTAAAGTCTGCAGTGTCTGTTTACCAGTAGGTGCCGCTGCAACCGGGTGTCTGCTTGGAGCAAGCGGCTCGCTATATAAACGTGTATTTGGTTGCGAAACCACCCCCGTCCCAGCAATGGGTTGTGCGCTGGGCTTGGGACCCGCCACGTAAAAACCACTTCCAGTGAAGAAGCAAGGCAAAGCCTCGGATGAGACCCCCCCTTATGATGACGACCACGGCAAACGTTTAAAGGACTACGATTTGAGGGCATGCACCTGGAATGTCCGGACCCTTAATGGGGAAGGTGCCTCTGCCCGGCTGGTTGATGTCCTCGTAAGGACAAAAGCTGACATCACCGCCATCCAAGAAATGCGTTGGACGGGGCAAGGCAAACAATGTCTGGGGCCTTGCGACGTCTACTACAGCTGCCATGTAAAGGAGCGCAAATTCGGAGTTGGATTTGTGGTGGGAGAGAGACTCCGTCGCCGAGTACTGTCGTTCACCCCGGTGGACGAGCGTCTAGCCACAATCCGCATCAAAGCGAGATTCTTCAACATCTCGCTCATCTGCGCCCATGCCCCGACGGAAGAGAAGGATGAGGCATCCAAGGATCTCTTCTATGAGCGCTTGGAGCGCACGTACGAGCGCTGCCCCCGTCATGATATCAAAATCGTGCTTGGCGACTTCAATGCCAGGGTGGGCAAAGAAGGGATCTTTGGAACCACCGTCGGAAAATTCAGCCTCCACGACGAAACGTCCGACAACGGATTGAGGCTGATCGACTTCGCCGGGGCCCGAAACATGGTAGTATGCAGTACTAGGTTCAAGCATAAAAAGATCCATCAAGCTACCTGGCTGTCTCCGGATCGAAAAACGAGAAACCAAATCGATCATGTTGTGATAGACGGAAGGCACGCTTCCAGTGTTTTAGACGTACGCACCCTCCGAGGCCCAAACATCGACTCGGACCACTATCTTGTTGCAGCCAAGATACGCACCCGCCTCTGTGCAGCAAAAAATGTGCGCCCAAATATGCAAGGAAAGCTTAACGTCGAAAAGCTGCAATCACAACAGACAGCCAGCGCTTTCGCTACTCGACTCTCACACCTGCTCTCAGAGAGCACTCTTCAACAAACCGACATATGCGAGCAGTGGAACCACATTTCCCGCTCATTAAGTACCGCCGCCGAAGAAGTAGTCGGATTTCAGCGAGCCCGAAAGAACAACTGGTACGATGAGGAGTGTCAGGAAGCTGCAGAGAAAAAAGATGCCGCCTACAGGGCCACGCTGCGATCGGGCGCAACGCGCGCTATGTGGGACCGCTATAGGGATCTGAAGAGGGAAGCGAGACGTATTTGCCGCAACAAGAAGAGAGAGGCAGAAATACGTGAGTGCGAAGAGCTTGAAATGCTGGCCGACAGGAGGAATGCCCGAAAATTTTACCAGAGAGTTAGGCGACTTACGGAAGGTTTAAAGACCGGGGCGCACTCCTGTAAGAACAATAATGGCGACCTAGTAACTGATGTCCAGAGCGTACTTAAATTATGGAGGGAACACTTTTCCGCCCTACTAAATGGTAGCAGCACGGAAAGTTGTGGAGAAGAAGAACCCGAGCTCGCAGTCGATGATGACGGAGTCGACGTTCCACCGCCTGACTATGACGAGGTACGTATAGCAATAACGCGGCTGAAAAACAACAAAGCCGCTGGAGCTGACAGCCTGCCAGCTGAGCTATTCAAGTACGGCGGCGAGGAGTTGATAAGGTGCATGCATCAACTCTTGTGCAGAATATGGTCAGATGAACGCATGCCCGACGACTGGAATTTAAGTGTGCTCTGCCCAATCCACAAGAAAGGTGACCCCGCCATTCGCGCCAACTACCGCGGGATCAGCCTTCTAAGCATAGGTTACAAGGTCTTATCGAGCGTATTGTGTGAAAGACTGAAGCCCACCGTCAATGAACTGATTGGGCCTTATCAGTGTGGCTTTAGACCTGGCAAATCCACCATAGACCAGGTATTCACAATACGCCAAATCTTGGAAAAGACCCGCGAGAAAAGGATCGACACTCACCACCTATTTGTCGACTTTAAAGCCGCTTTTGACAGCACTAAAAGGAGTTGCCTATACGCCGCTATGTCTGAATTTGGCATCCCCTCAAAACTCATACGGCTGTGTAAAATGACGTTGAGCAATACCACCAGCTCCGTCAGAATTGGAAAAGACCTCTCCGAGCCGTTCGCCACAAAACGGGGTTTCAGACAGGGCGACTCCCTTTCATGTGACTTCTTTAATCTGATGTTGGAGAAGATAATAAGAGCTGCAGAACTGAACCGCTCAGGAACAATTTACTACAAGAGCGTGCAATTGCTGGCTTATGCCGATGACATCGACATCATCGGTAACAAAATCCGCGAAGTCTGTTCTGCCTTAATCTGTAGTATGTGGTTCAAGCTTTTACTAAAATTTTCTCTGAAATGGTGATTCTAAGGATCAAAAGTGTCATAACAGTTTTTGTAGATAATCGCACGATCTAAACTGTCTAACCTATTTTTATGATAAACCTTACCATTTGGCTGGGATTTTCGAAAAAGCAATTTCCGTGACCTTTGACTTTGAATAAATTTTTTTGCATAAGTGGGATCGTTTCACGCTTTATTTAAAATGGTGTTAATTTTTAGCTTTATGCGAATTATTACCTCTATTTATTGAACTAACTTGAATGGGCGAATTAATAAATCAGTGTTATTCAACAGCATATTTACGCAGAAGAAGAATCAGGTTCCGTGCTCGAATAATGGTCTCATTTTTTATCCCATTGTTTTCGATTGTAATAAATAAGTCTACTGTATCAATTATGTGCGTATTTCGATTAGTAAATTATTAAAGAAAATATTGCCTTTAAGTACATACTACATACATACAGCCCTGCATATGTATATATATCTATTTAGACAAAAAATGAATAATAGTTGCAAACAGAATTATATTTAGTTATCAGTTGCAATGTAAATTAAACTCTAACCGTATTATACATGTGTATATATATACCCATACATACATATATAATTCCTACGTGGCGTGGTTTTCACGATTTAACTTAACTGGTCAAAAAGTAACGATAAAAAGAATTTATTCTGTGGAATAAGTAAGGTCTTACATATCGCACGCCATCTTCGAAAGAGTCACAACTCAAAATAATACATTCGTCAGAAAATGCGAAAAACTATTTCGTAGCACATGCTAATCATATGGACTTTACCTTAGGTTTTTNTATATAATTCCTACGTGGCGTGGTTTTCACGATTTAACTTAACTGGTCAAAAAGTAACGATAAAAAGAATTTATTCTGTGGAATAAGTAAGGTCTTACATATCGCACGCCATCTTCGAAAGAGTCACAACTCAAAATAATACATTCGTCAGAAAATGCGAAAAACTATTTCGTAGCACATGCTAATCATATGGACTTTACCCTAGGTTTTTTTTAATAACAAATTATAACAAAAATTTGCTGNAAATTATCGTTTGCTTATTTCCACTATTTTCATTTTTGTTATGCCAACACAATCAAGCGCAGCTATTCCGCTGCAATTCACTTGATCATGTAGGTTTTTTTTAANAATTTTGAGTTGTGACCCTTTTGAAGACGGTGTGCGATATGTAGATACATATCGCTTATTTACTTCAATAGTGTCATAATCCAAAATGATACAAAATCGAGTTAATTATTAAGAAATTACCGCTATTTCATAGCTGTACCGATTACCAACAGCTCACGCGAATAAAATATGCATTCATTTTTACATGTCGTCGGTGATACTGCAAAACGTTCTATGTCACTATTTACCTCTGGTGCTTAATTGATCTGCTATCTGTATCTGATCGCTTCTGACAATTGTTCATCTTCATCAGCTAAAGGTAGACAGTTTTGTCATTCGTTTATTAGGGTGTAATGATTGCAGATGCATTCCGGTTCAAGTAAGAGACCATCTAAGTGTCAAGGGTACTAATATACCGTTTTNCATTCCGGTTCAAGTAAGAGACCATCTAAGTGTCAAGGGTACTAATATACATAGACCGTTTCGCAGTATCACCGACGATGCACTATACATATCGCAGGCGATATTCAAAGGTTACACAACTAAAAACTACACGTTTAACAGAAAATGCGAAAAACTATTTCTTAGCACATGCTTATCATATGGGCAAGGAAGACTTTACTTTAGGTTTTTTCAACAATTTATAACAAAAATTTGCTCCAGTTTTTCTCGAAAGGTAAATAAAAGCTCTGTGTACATTTTTAGTGCATAATTTAAAAGTGCCAAATTTTAAGTTATGCCAATTTTGATGATCGTGTGCGATATGTATGCACATAAATTCAAAACTTTAAAACGGGTTTTCTCCCGTTTTTGGTTTTTTGAGTTAAGACAGTATTGAAGGAAACGAGCGATATGTTCATTTTTATTTGTTTTCTAAATTTGTATGTTATATTTTCTTAATTACTTGCATTTTTTGTTTTATTTTCCATGTTTACTCTGCAACCTACTACACTACTATTATTGTAAAATTGATTCGTTGGTGTCTACTATTATAACATGCTATACATATCTACCGACTTATTGAAAAAAATTAAACTTGTAAATATACAAATAAAAACCAAAATATTACAATATATGTAACGTTTTTACACCAACACAATGCAATGTTCCGTTAATGTGCGACCACTTACTGCTACCACCCCCATCACCACCACAACTGCGTCCAAAATATCTACAAAAAAAAAACATCTGCAAATTTCACTAATACCACGAAAAATCCAATCAACCGACCGACCAACAATTTATACCAAAAGGGACCTCATCCGGCTTTAATTATTGTAAGTATCTGAAATGTA